ACAATGACACTTGGGCTACTTTAGTTTGAAAGAAAAAAAAGTAATAATAATAAAGAGCAAAAACAGGGTAGAGAATGGAAGCTATATTAATAATTAAGGTTGGGTTTAGTATAGAAATACATTAGCATCTTGGAATTAATGCCCAAACATCATATTGAGGGTTTGAATGCTAACTTCAAAGACAGTTTTGCTGTCTACCCTTTTGATATCTTGTATTCTAATAATATCTTTCTTATTATTGTTTTTATTTTATTTCTGTAGTTATGACTTTGGAAACTTGTAAAGACAGCTTAAATATGATTGGATAGAGCAAGAATTAGACTTTTCACATAATAGAGTAAATATAATGATTTGAGCAGTAATTTATGGTTTTGTGTTTATAGTCGAAGTGAAAGTGTTTGTGTAATAAGAAGACATCAGGTGACCTTTATGAGGGTTAGTGAGTAAATAGCTGGCAGCATACGTGAGAGTGTAATAAAACTATTTTATCTCAATAGGTTGAGTACAAATAATTTATAATTAGTGACCATGACTCAACTTTGTCCAACTCTTGGGAATGTTTATAGTGAGAGGTAGAATGAAGAGAAAAAGACTGCATGCTACAAATAAAACAATTATATATTTTAAGAGAATATAATTTTTCATTACACTTTAATTCATAATTTATTATATATATACACACTTACGTTTAATGCTTGTACCTTCATAAATCCTTTAAATCTAACTTTTGAAACATCTCATCATGAGTTAGTTCTTATTTTCTGTTTTGTTACTACTATGCATAGCAAATATACAATTGCTCATACCAAGATGCTAAGAATACTGTGATGTCATTTTGAGATACGGACAGAGTTGAGCTTCTGAATCTTATCTCTTAATATAATTTACTTCAACTTTCTTATTATCTCTTCATATTGCTTCTTCTATGCTAGATTAGCATCATCTTTTATAGTTTCTGAGGTTACCATGTTAGTGTAGCAATTCTCATTCATCATGCGTACACACTATCCCCCTCCCTCCCTCCTTAGAACCCATGCTGAAATACACACCCTGTGAGCTCTTTTTTTTGTGTGTGTGTAAAGTTGGCACCAGGGGAGTCTTAGTTTTGGCTTTACTCAGCCTTCTACAATGCTAAATGCTATCTTCAAAAACACCTGCATTTGTATAAATTTATGAGGTACACTTCAAACTTCAAGTTCCTGCTTTTCATAGTTTTTTTTTTCTGTAAACTTCAGCCATTCTCATTTAGAAGCATGGTTACGCTAGGTAATGATAATCAGTGCCTTTATCCTGATGAAATAACATAACTCGTACTTATGGTCGTGTTCTCCAGAATCTCTCCCAAGTACAATTTAATGACACAACTGCATATGAATAACAACTAACTTATTCATAGGTGTAGTCAATAAATAGATTAGTTGTTATTAAACTAGTTTGATTTCATTTGTCATGGTTTAAGTAACATACATTCACTTTTGTACAATGATCGTTAGTTTCAAAAAATTTTCTTTAATATTCAAGTTATCAATTTTTGTGCTTTATGACATATTAGTTTGTTAAGTTATCTTGTCTAATGCTATTCCAACTCAGATTCTAATTTATTGAATATTATTTTTGTTTCCGGTATTCAAACAATGTTCATAAATAAATTGGTTAACTGTTTATGTAATGATTTCTAACTGAATTTGTGGTATGGTTCAAGTAAAAATATTATTACAGTTATCAGTAACAGTAAATTGTATTTTTTTAGCTGATTATCAGTCACATTGAATAAAAAAGAAAAACTTAAACCTATAGATATTTACTCTACTATGATGTAATAGTCTAATTATTTACTTCCAATCTTTATAGTTGTTTTTTTAAAAGTAAATCATTAAACCACTTGATGTGGTACCGTAACAAGTTTTCAACCAAGGCCTGCACAAAAACTAAGGAAAATGCTTGAAAATCAACAAGTTATTTTTTGGGATTGGCAGAAAAATTATAAAAATGTACACAAGTGAGTTGTTTGCAAGTGAAACTCTTAGCAGATGGGCAGAAATGAAAATATGAATTTATGCATTAATTATACTAAATAAGTGTCAGAAAATGACAACATTGTTTTTGAATTTTAATGGTTGAAATATACTTAGGACTACACATGAAATTGGCTTTAAAATTTGAGTTTCAGCAAATTTTGTCAAGTGACAAAAAAAAAAAGATTGAGAAAACCCTGGCTTCAGACTTCAAGCACAAATAATTTATAATTAAGTTACTTTTTTTTTAATCCTAAGCTTTGTACATGAAAATGTGTCGTACAAGTAAGGGAACCCCATTGTTCAACATGAATAATAATAATAAAACAAAAATGACATATCAGTCACCTGTTGGAACAATACTGTGTACACCTTTCCAGACATAATTCTAAGTACTTCAGTATTGCTTTACACATTGATAAGTGTGTACATGTTTATAACAGCACTGGAACTTTCTACATACCTACTCAAATACTTTGTAACCAACCAAGGAATAGGATAATCATAACTGATCTTATTTATTAGGCAAATGAGTACTTAGCCAAACTAAAAACCTAGTATTTTTTTATATTCTTCAATTAGCCTAAAATTAAAATCAAAGAAAATAAAAATTAAAATAATATGAAATTATTTTTTAAATAAAGCTTCTGATAGTCATAACGTTATCTTACAATGTTTGAATATCATTAGGAAATGAATAAGAATATAACTATAAAAAGTGTTCAGATAAGAGCATTATTGTGTAAAAAAAAATGTTACTACTTTTCCGCATTAGCTTCAGTAATGTTTTATTTTTACAATGATGGTACGATAAGTTAACTTTTGAAAGTTATTTGTGTAACACTGTAACTAAATTTCAAAATTTTTTTACATGCAAGAAACTTGCATATAGTCCATATAGACCATATAGTCTTAAAGTAACCTAGATAAATAAAACTAATGTTAATATTTTCTGTAAATTATTAGCTTATACAGATTATAATCCATCAATTTCAAATCTTGTTCTTTATTTTTAGTCATGTGATTAATATTAAAACTTAACAGTTATAATTATTTAGAAAGAAAATTACAGCATTGGTAGGCAGGGTGCCTTTTTTTTTTCTTCAAAAATTGTTACTTATATGATCGTAACTATTGCATTTTCACTTGTTTTAGACCAACAATACAAAAAGCATCTTTCTCATGAGAATTTTAGATTTTTAAAGAAGTCTGTTATAACAGCAGTTAGTGTTCTAAACATTAATAATTTTGAGGAAAACAAATTTCTGAAGTCTAGACATGCTGTTAGCACCTATTAGAAGCTCGTCACCAAACAGGTCTAGCCACCTGAGTGTAAAAATTCTTGGCTTATAGGAGTACCAGCTAACCGCAAGTTAGATGGTATTAAGGATAATTGGGGAGTGGATAATTGAGGTTCTTATTGGTGAATTTGCTTAGAAATATTCAGTTTGTTGTCTGAGGCCTTAACTGGATTGTTGTAGCCTCCAGATGTGTCAATTTCAGAAAACCTCAAAACCAATCAGGAAAAAACAACACCAGTATATATATATATACGTGTGTGGTTTTGATAGTATACAGTAATGACATCTGGTTTTTTCTTTTATTAATTTCTGGCAAAGAAGGGAGATTTGAACCTCCTAGATCCTTGTCTACTTGTGCAACATCAAATAATACAGTTATAAATTTCAGAAAAAAGTGGGTGGAGGGATTTGGGCCTCCTGGACATCTCCTCTAGACCTATGCTTGTTTATGTAGCATTAAAGGATACATTTATTTATTCCTGGAAATAATGGAGGGTTGTCCAGACTTCCTACCTTAGATCCATGCCTGTGTTTATAACATAAAAGAATACAGTTATTAATTTCTGAAAAAAAGTGGTAAGAGGGGGTTTAACTCCCTGAACCCCCTTCTGTAGATCCATGCCCCCTTATACCACATTAAAGAATATGGTTATGAAACTATAATTTAGAAACATGCTTGTTATACATTAGTCTACTATGCATGGGTAAGGTCAGTTATGAGTTGTGATATAAGATCAAGAACATTATAAATAAAAATTATCCACTGATATCTTCATAAGTGATCTACACTGTGAATACAGAATCTTTTTTTTTTTTTTTTTTTAAAGTTTCAAGGATGTGATTATCAAATTTCAACGCTCTTATCTTCTCTGTCGTTTTGTTTGTTCTTGCTGTGGTCAAGATTACATTGGATCTACAACTTGCTATTTGGAACAGTGTATTAAAGATCATCTATAATTATAATCAACTTCAGCCAACAGCAATATCAAGTATTTACAGATATCTAAACAGTGATTGTCAAAGCAAAGTAAGTGCTGGATGAAAACTTTAGCATATTTCTGGCACTGACAATGAACAGAATGTTAGAATCAAATATACTTTATATTAAGAGAGTAAAACTGTCATTAAATAATAATCCCCATTTTTTTGTTTAATATTTCTGCTTTGCATAGTTAATTGAACCACAAAATATTGAAGCTCAAAAGCATTGTTCCAGACTCATTCAGTAAATATCCTTCCCACTTGCATTCAAACCCAAAAGTGCAAATACACCTTTTAACTTGTCTTTCATAATTGTTTTGACAATAAAATATCTCTCAGGTTATCCATAAAATCACAGTAATAGAATGTTTGAACTTGAGATGTCAATCTTTAGCCATTAGCAGCTTCATTAAAGGCATCTTTTAAACATGATTAATTAAGTGCTACTTGTTTTTGTTTTACTGAAATGAGTTTTTTTAAACACAGAAGTTTAGTGCAGAATTGAATTTTTTGGTGGTGTTTTAGTTTATTATTATTATTTTCACAACTCATGATTTCATAAAACCTAATTCAAAGTACTGATGAGTAAGCAGCAGTTGTGTGTGCAGAAAAGGTAAGTATTTCATGAAGAGTAGGTTTAAATAAGTACAGAAAATAATGTATCTTCCTTATTTTATAATTTTCATTGTTTGTTTTTATACAGTAACACTGCATCATCAGATTCAACCACAATTATGAATGAAGAATACAAAGTTCCAGATAGATTAGTCGGTTTAAGTAAGTGTTATTTGTTGTTGTTATTTATTTATTTAAAAAACTTAATCCTAATGCTTGGATGTAACTAGTCCAAAAATGTTAATAGAATGTTTGTGATAATATTTAATACTGTATGTGTGTTTGTATATTGTGTGTGTGTACACATAAGCTCATTCTGAAACTACATTTTTTGCAGTTTATTTATTTATTCTATGCTGCATAACTTCAACTTTATTATTCTTCACTTGTTTATGGTTGTGAAGTTTTTCACCCATTTGCAGTAGTTGTTGATTTGAGCTTTGTATAAATATTGTGCAATTTCACTATTTTATATTGTAATACTACTACAGTAGTCTTAGTTAATAAATATTTATGTTAAATTTCTTATAGTTATTGGACGAGGTGGAGAGCAGATCATGAGGTTGCAAGCTGAATCAGGTTGTAAAATTCAATTATCTTCAGAGAGTGAAGGAAAGTTGGAGAGGACTTGTGTATTGACTGGCACTAAACAAGCTGTAGAGTAAGTCATTTGTTTTCTGTTTACTGAGCCTTGAGAAATAAAGTTGAATGTATGCTTGAATCAGTATAAACTGAAGAAAAGGGTTAGCAACAACTTATACCAAACCAAAAACTGGTTGAATTAATGGTAGTGTTCAAGGTACTCTTCCTCATTTTTTCAAAGCCATAATGGAACATTTGTTCTAATGTTGCATAGAATTTTGTAATGAATTATCCTTCCTTGTATAATATGAGATAGGTGTGACTGTTTAGAGCACCATCACATCTACAACAGTGTTTTCAAGTAATCTATTAATTTTGAGTTTTTGTTGAGGTTTTGAATCGCACTTTGCTGAAGCTACAACTACATACTATTCAGTATGGTACGGGCATTATATGGAATACATTACTGTTTGGTTTGGATATTTAAAGATAGGAATATTTGAAAGTACATCAATGCATTCTGACAAGTTTCCCTGAAAACACTTTAATATATTTTTATTTGAAATATCAAGAATTTAAACAACTTTTTTTAGATGGTAGAACGACTATACTACAGAATAATAAAATACCAGATAGTTAATAAATACATAACTCAGTGTATTTATGCTATTTCACAACATATAATTAAGTATTAGATTATTGGTCCTTGACCTCATTTAAATAAAAATAAACAAATAGTTACCATGTGTTATAACTGGTAAGAGCCTGTGCCAGTTTCTTTTTCACTCTTGATTAATGTGAAACTTTGCACTGTAGTAGGAGGGAAAAAAAAGCCCATGTGGTTTAAGCATTTCTTACTCATTAAACTAACATCGTTGCTTGGGTATATATAATGTATTTTGAGTTACAACATATTGCAGAAAATAGTCATCTTATATTTCAATAAATTTTCAGTGGTTTACATTAAACAAAACAACTGAACACTTTCAACTTATAAGTTTAGTAAACATTGTGTGTTTTTCACGCATTTTTTTAACTATTATCTCTTACCAGTTGTTTTGAGGAGTGGCTTGTAGTCTCTCAAATTCCTTTCTCTAGACTTTGTAGACTTGTGGTATAGTTGTACATTTGTTAAGGTTTTTTTAACATAAGCATTGGGTTTTGTTTTCTCTGTCTGCTAATATGATTGTTATAGTTCTGATGTTATCAGGTCCTTCATATATTTACTTCATTACTTTTAAATTTCTCTATCATTAATTAATAACCTATACTGTAGGAGTCTTGTGGTGTATCTTTGCAGTTTAGATTATTTTGTTTTACTTTTACCATTCTCTCATTGTTATATTTATTTATTTATTTTCATTTTTTGTCATATTAGTTCTGATGTTATCATACCTATCAAAGGTGTTCTCCCACCTTTAGCATGCATCACTTTAACTCTGTAGGTTTGGCCTCATTCATTTTGATCAACCTTGTAACTGCCATGTAACCATGAATTTATACATACTATAATGGGATTTACTGAGTGTATCTCCACAAAATTTCGCAATCTTCTGTAGACGTTACAAGTCTGATGTACACAAAAATCAGACTTTTTAATAAAGTATTTATACTAAATATTGGGCTTTCAATTTCCAAAACTTTTAGTGAGTGAATCTGAGTGCAAGATGATTTTCATGATAAGGATAAAAATACTTTATTTGTCTTAAAGTTTTCATATTTAATTTGTCTAACCTCTAAAACTTCCTAAATGAACATAAACTTTTTTCTCAGTAAAACTGTATCTTATGAGTTATTTTCTCTACCTTAACTCTAATTGTAACAAAATCATTGGAGTAGGGTAGAATGAAAAGTAAAGAAATTATAAATAACTCTAAATTACCTGGTTTTTCTTTCTAGAGTGACTGCATCTTGTAACAGATAATTACTCGTATCTGTTCTAACATTAGAAGCTACTAGCCTTTCACATTTGTTTTCATTTAGTTTTATTGATTTACACATGTACGTGGACCATTTCAGTGTATGCAAAAAACATTTATCACAGTGCAAAATTCATTTATTAGAGCAGGATGGCTTTTTGTAAACAAATGATCAAGTTATGATCACAACACATGATATGTGCATGGTAGGATATTGAGTATCACAAGAAATGTTCACATTTTAGTTACATTTATAACAATAAATAAGCATACATAAAAAGAAAATGAAACTTTTGTACTTACATCTGGACTTGGTTATTTTGCCATTCATTAGCGAGGCACTCTTAAACTTGGTTTTTTGTGACAATGTTGGTTGTCCACAAAGTTATTCATGATTATTTCAAATATACATTTTGGAATAAAAAAAAATATCATGCACAATAAAATAGAATGTCCTAAAACTACTATGATTGAACTGGCTTCTATCTAAAATGTAAATAGGTTAGCTTCTTGAGCTGAACAACACAACAACACAAACTATGATTGAACTGGCTTCTATCTAAAATGTAAATAGGTTAGCTTCTTGAGCTGAACAACACAACACAACAACACAAACTATGATTGAACTGGCTTCTATCTAAAATGTAAATAGGTTAGCTTCTTGAGCTGAACAAAACAGTTGAAAACAATAAAACTCAGGCTAAATATTTAAATTCAATCACCAAAATGAAATAACTCGTGTAAGGGATCTTGTAATAAAAAAAAAAGCTCCTTCTATTGGTAATAAGTAATCCAATAACAATGTCAGAGAGAATTATTGACATATTTTGAAAACAAAGATGTGTTGCATGGATTTCATATTTTCATCTATATCTCAGCAAAACAAGAAGATTGGAGACTGTAACTGTATATTCTGACTTGTCAATGTCTATAGTATGTATTTGTTAATTTAGTTGGATACTCAAAAAATCATGTAAGGGTAGAGAGAGAGAAAATCTAAAATTGGCAGTTTGGAGTGTGATTACATAACACAGAAGCCAAGATTGAGAATTTATGTAAATGCTTCTTTTTGAGATTAAGAAATTGAAACTTAGATGATATTTTAATTATAAAATATATTTTGACACCAGCTTTATTAACTCTTCAATCTCATAATTTTTTGCATGTTCTGTTGGGATTATTTTCAGGATTTCATAATAATTAACATCATACCTTATAAAATTTCAATTTTTGTAAAGTTTTTGGATAATAACATGGTTTGGATTAGTTTTAAGTCAAAGAGACTTAAATGGTATCAGATGTTGTCACCGTCTGATAGGTAAATCAAGATTTTCAGGTTGATGCTGGCAGTGTCTACTCAGGCTTAAGGAGTTAATGTACATTGACAATAAACTAGTTTGATTAAATTTTGAATGTAACTCTGTAAAATGGTGCCCCCCCCCCTAGTGGTACAGTGGAATGTCTGCAGACTTACAACGTTAGAATCCGGGTTTCGATACCTGTGGTGGGCAGAACACAGCTAGCCCATTGTGTAGCTGTGTGCTTAATTACAAACAAACAAACTGTAAAATAGTTATGACACATCCATAGGGTTAAGGTGTTTATTATAATTGTCATTTCAAGTACCATTTCACTGATGTGTGTGCATGTATGTGTATTAATATCATTTTTTGAATAATGTACTTCCAACAAAAATTTCATCTCCAAATTTGCAGTTTCAGTAACCAGTAATTTATAACATTAATTACCTGGAAAAATGTTTGATAGAACAGAAAAGTGCAAAGTTCAAAAACTTTCTTTTGGTCTCATATTGAAGACACCCATGTTTTTGGTTTATGATGATGACATAATACACCGTATTATTTTATTCTTTTTTTTAAATATTTCAGTCTTTCTCGTACTAGACTAACTAACTAATTTTAAATTTGTCTTTATGAAATGGAAATAAATTTACAATGTGTGTGTGTGTGTGTGTGTATACACACACACACACACACACACACACACATGCTATGTATATACAGTTAGGACAGTACTGAAGTTGAATAAGATGGCATCAATTCTGTTTTTGTAGAGCTTTTAATGCTGTGCTTACCACATCTGTTTGCTTGGTTAGGTTGGTGAGTCATGACAACAGTCTCATAGCAAAATTACACCAGCTGAATGTTGTCAATGAAATAATTATTTAAATGTGGTTGAAGCTTAACCAGTGTGTTGTAGATTATTATTTAAAATAAGAATTTTGAATATGAAAGAGGAACATATTAAAAGTATTTTGATTTTGGGTTGATTTAGAAATGGGTAAGAACTTTAACCATTTCCATGCTGCTTTGGGGTCAGAGGGCATGTCATCATGCTTTGTAAACTTACTTTCAAACTTTTATTAAACTACTATTGTATGAAAGTATGTAGGTAAATAAGTTTCTCATCAAATTATTCTTTATAATTCAAACTTTAGTATTATACATTATTTAATTTCTTAATTCAAAAGTAAATATTTAAAAAAAAAGCTAAATATCAATTTTTGTGTGTTACATAGTACATTATTTTTTGCTTTTGCTGAGATTACATTTCATGACACCCACAATATAATGTTTATAGTTTTAATGAATTAGAAAATTAGATTATTAATATTGACAAGTTACAGTATAAAATAAGAAATTCTTACCGTATCTATTTGCCGATATATTATATGTAGCAAACCCACAACAGTGGCTCTGCCCACTTCTTCATCTTTTGAAAATACATACATCTACTTCTCTTAAGTACATGTTTATAGCTGATCAAAAGTGCTTATTTTGAACTACATAATCCTGTCAGTCTTTCTAAAGTATTTATGCTGTGAAGTTTTTATAACTGTTGGAGAATTTGAAGTGTGATGATCAAAGTGATATTCTGATTAGAAATTAGATTTTTTAGACCCAAATACAACTTAGTTAGGAAGCCTGATAAACTACAGTGGATTTTTGTGGTATTGGTATAGTTATTTATAATTTTTTGGTATTCCAAATTGCATATATAAAATCAACAAAAATGAGTTTCTCTACTTTCTCCATGTGTGAAATTTAACAAGGCTTAACAAGTATAACACATGAGTACAAAAAATTTCATAACATTGTAAGTAGTTGAGATCATTGTTTTCTATGTATCTTTTATTTAC